CACCCCCAACCCACTTGCCATTTTTCTATACCCCTGATACTCAACTCAAATTCCCCATACTTTAATTGCTCTTTTGCATTCTTGATTTTCTTATTCTATAATTCCTTCATTTTGTGTTGCCCATTTGGACATACTTTAGTGGATATTTGAGATGTTTGACCTTAATCTTAGTTTTCAAGATGTTCCAGTAAAATTCATCTCCCTTACAGGGAAAATGGCGTCAAAGAAGCTCAATGAACTATCACTCACCCAAATGGAGAATTCTAGGACCTCCGATTCCTCCATTATTAACATTGAAACGACCAGTACTGCTGGTGACGATGAATATTCATGCTTGGATCATTGTTGCGATGGTTATGTATTTGATATACTGAAAGCCGATAGGCAAGGGATTGAAGGGACTGGGAATCGTGGTGGTTTGTTACAAAGGAGTTGTTTCCATTGGTGAGTGGAGACACTGAGCTTCGGCAGCAGCAGTGGTTGGATTTCTCGGCTAATTACAATGCTTCCTACGAGCAGGTGAGCACTATATCTCCGCAGCAGAGATTACAGGTGAAAGAAGTTCTCAATACCATGGAGTTTTTCATTCTATCGAAGGACTGGAAAATAGAAATTCCACATCTAGGATTGTGGAAAACAAGTTCACTTAGAGGATTTAACATTGCATACGCTGCAGCTAGCGCATCTGACCGTGCTGCAATTAAATTCCAAGTATTTGATTTAGATATCAATTTTACAACAGTGATTATGAAGAAGATCTTCACCAAAAAAGAGTTTGTGCACATACTTCGTCGACAGAGCATTGATTTCTCCAGAGGAAGTTCGAATACAGGGGGAGTCGCACTGCATAAATGTGGATGATGGGACGCATGGAAGGGGCAGCTTCTTGGGAAGAAGTAATCTATCTTGGACTAACTTGAGCTTGAGAGTAAGATAGAAGCTGCAAGGCATACGATAAGGCTGCTATAAAATGCAAGGGGAGGGACGCAGTCACCAATTTTGAGCTAAGAACATAGGAAGGGGTATTAAGTTGTGATGCTGATATTGGAGGCACGGGTCATAATCTTGATCTGAAATTGGGCTGACAATCAACATGGAAACACTAGCCAAATGGGAAAATCCCAGTGCCAGCATGGCTCAAATGGT